CGGAAACTCTAAAAATGCAAGTTTCGTGATCCAAAAATACCAAATTTTTCAACCATTTAATCCGTGTAAAAGCTGAATAAAGCTTTTTACAGCCTGTAAATTAGATCACATCCCAAAAAAAACAAGAAAAATGATAAAAAAATGACAAATTTCGAAGAATCCAGTGAAGAACACTGTGCAACTCGTGTTCTTCACGGACTCGCCGATTCCGTACAGTGAATCGGCGAGTCACTGTGCAGAATCGTCCAATTCTCTCTAGAACCAGACGATTCCCGTTTTTTAAACCGATTCGATCCCGCATGGCGATTCCCGAGTCGAACCGGGCGAGTGCGGTTCGACTCGATGTTTTTTTAAACAATGGTTGAATGGGTTTTTATTGGGTTTTTATAGAGAGATATTGGTTAAATGGGTTTTTGAGAGAGAGAGAGATTGGTTGAATGGGTTTTTCACAAAGAGAGAGAGAGAGAGAAATTGGTTGAATGGGGTTTTCACAGAGAGAGAAATTGGTTGAATGCGTTTTTCAGAGAGAGAAAAATTGGTTGAACTGATTCTTCATATAGAGAGAGGAAGATGAGGGCTCGGTATTTTATCTTCATTGAAAGAGTCCAAGGAGGAGATGAAGAAGAAGCCAGGAAGCGAATGCTATGGATTTGTGACACCGATGTTAACAGGGCTTTTTCAGGACTCCATTTGAGCATGCAAGAGATCACCATGGATGCCATCATCTGCTTCTTTGTCTTTTGCTTGGGAAGTTGATAAGCGTGAAGGAGACGGGGAATTTAAGCCGAGAGAGAACAAGGCTTGGTCTGATAACTTCTATAATCAAATTTAAATTAGATTTTGCAATATCATGAAATATCAGGACACTAGAATGTTATCAAACAGGCCTTTAAACATATTTTTATATTAAGATATTGTAAGTTTATTTTTGGAGGTCATAATTATCTTAGCTATTAGATTTCAAGTTTTGAATGATTTCGAGGTGTCTCAATAAATTCGCGAATTTCTTTAAGAACTTTGAATTTAGTTAATGACAATCTTACCACCACTAAGTTTGAAATTTAACGAACAGAAATAATTGTGACCTCCTTATATAAAAAATGAAATCTCTTTTTATACTTTTTTACATAAATAATACAGGGTGTAGTAAGGTTAAAGCAATCAAAATAAAGTACCCTCCAAATCACGCCAAAAGATGAAGTTTTGGTGTCAGGAAAGCCCTAAAATGGCATGAGTCTATTTTAACTTTAATTGTGAATTTAAAACTTAAAAAATAGTACAGATTGCACATTATTTATAAATATTTAAAAAATCTTAAAAATAATTGGTCTAGGTAATCTATAACAAAATACACTATTTTTATAACTTGAGTTCTTTTTTTTATAAATATATATATCCTACATCTCGAAGTTGAAATATTGGACAGATTTTCAGTCACAAAAACTTTTCCAACGTAGTATTAACTTGAAATAATCAAATTATGGTAATCTATAGTAAAAAATAGTGCTTGTCATTGATAATTAAGGAAAAAGTTCTAAAATAACGTAGAGGCCCTTGTGAAAAGTTTTCAATCCGTTAATATATATCTCTTATCATGGTAATGAATTGCTATAAAAATATCACCAAACCACGCTGTTGATTGAAAATAACGGTGACTTTGCCCCTTCTAGAAGCCGTTCATAATGGTATGAATTTATGTGTAATAACATGACGTGGGATCTTAATAAATTTATTTTTGAGATAGATTTGGACTCTTAAGTTTTTAAGAAATGTAATCTCTAACCTGAAAATTATAAAAAAAAAATAAATAAATAAATTTTAAAAATTAAAAATAATAATTCTAATAAAAAATATTTAGATCGTTACTTTTTTATTGTTTTTAAATGGAACACCTACTTGCCTGAACGCATAGGTAGAAATGCGGGTCACAACCCCCGCATGAAACAAAATAGGAGGGGTAGTTTAGTTATTTTGGTTTCCTATATAAAGGAACCTATTTTTACTTCTTCTTGTGGTCTAGGGTTTTTATTCCCAAAAATTTACAGGTTTTTCGATCTAGGGTTTTGCAATCCCTTGTGCTCTTTCGATGGCTATTTCTGAATCTAAGGATCAGGTGATTCAGTTCTTGAATTCTCAATTTTTAGACGACGAGAAATGGCCCTTTACCAAGGTTAGTGGTCTTTGATTTCTTTGATATAGGGTTCACTTCGTCTTCTGAGAAATCTGAGGTTTGATTGTCTTTCAACATTGTACATTCATCAATGAGGAATGGAGCTTTAATATGCCTACAGTTTTGAAAGAAATAATTCTTCTGAGATGATGATTAGCTTCATTGGATGATTTCTTCTTGCTGTGGTTCTTTATCTCTTTGTAATTTTTTTTCTGAATTTCCTGGTTTTTTTTAAAGAAATAATGATGAAATGTTCAAGATCCAAGCTTTAGGTTGTGATCGGTTAATATGGATGGGTTAATGAATCTGCGTAATGGCTTACTTGGAAATAGGGTAATTTTGTTTACTAATGGATTTATATTTAAGTGAAAATGCGTATATAAAGTTTTTTGGTAGGATGGATTTTTTAATTAATTGCTAGCTTGTTAGAATACTCTCTGTGTCTCGGTTTTTTCTCTTTCCTTTTTTATGTGTTATATTCAAGACCATGGTTGTGGGTTTTATAGATGGAGATTTCTTGTATTTGAAGTGATGATTTCTTTATGAATCTGTTCAAATGGTTACATATTTTATGGATTATACCGTATTAATGCACATGAAAATGGTTCGTTCTTCATAAATATTACAGAGAAATTTTTTGTGTACCGCTCGCTGCTTATCGATTTAATTACTTCTTCTGATTTAGTGGTATTTCACAACCTTGTTTCTTGGTGTGAGTGAAACCTGTCAATGTCAAATGTTTGTTGAATCAATCTCTTATGAAGCACAGATATCTGGTTGATAAAAATCTGTAAATTTGAAACTACCCAGCATATTTTCTATTTGAAATTGGTTTTCTCTGTGAATGTTAACTTGGAATGATTATGTTTGGCAGAATGTACTATGGGCTTTCGGGTTGTTTGTCACTTCAGCGGTTGTAATGCACAAATATGGGGAACAGCTGGCAATATGAAGCTGGTGTGGTAGCAACAGGTCTCTCTTGTGGGGATTGACTTTAGGCTAGGTAATGCTCATTTCTATTTGTAATTTTTATGAAAGAACTGAATTTTATGGGGGGAATTTGATCCTGTATGTGTTTTAGAACTTCAGATGCCATGAGGTTAAACTATGAACTGATTGTTGAACTGAATAGAAAGTATCTTTTGAATTTTGTTTTTGGAAATGTGGATAGATTATGTTTATCTGTACTTCTGTATGTGTGTCAATGTGTGTGTGTGTGTGTATGTGTGTGTGTGTGTGAGAGAGAGAGAGAGAGAGAGAGCTTCTTCATATTTTCAAAACCGATTGCTTCTTCTTACTGAAGCTTCTTCTTATTTTCAAAATTGACTGGGTGTTCATGATCGTTTTATCATTTAAAAGTTTCATGTGAGATGTAATGTACTAGGTGATAAGAATTTTAACTGCAAATTCGAGCTGAGTCTTATTAAAAAATTTTCATTACATTCTGAGATTCTTCGTTTTTCTGAATAGAAAATGCTTGTAGATCTTTATATAGCATGTTTGTAACTCTTTATTGTGTGCTTTCTGTCTTCTTATATATCTATTGGTTTCTTTTGCATTCTCTATATGCAGGCGACTGGACTGGAAATGATAGCAGATGACATTCAGGTGATTTACTAAGAGATTGAACGAAATCTTCAGAATTTGTCAGTGAGCAAATCTTTTTCTGTTTTTGGTAATGGAAGTAGCTTTGTTATGGTATTTTCTTAGAATGAAACATTACTTCGAGAGGTTTTCAAGAATGAGTTCATACTTTGGTTTTCAAGAATGAGTTCATACTTTGGCTACGTAAACATTTTTCTGGACACATGTGAATCAACGAATACAAAAGATTTCATTGTATCTGTCACTTGAACATCTCATAAAAGAATTGGATGCAAGCCTCAAGTCAGCTGGGCCGAAGTTTTCATTGAGTCAATGCAAAATGAATGACCCCTCCCCCTCTCCCTCACCAATTGAAAAGCTGGTCTCAAATTCTGTTTTGTACTAGTAAATTAGTATCCACAATTAATGCAAATCTTTGATTTACATGTGCTCATACTGGGGCCTAGACCGATCCCCTGCTTAATCCGATCCGGACAAATTGTAATTGGCTGGCTAACTAGGGAATTTTTTTGTTAATGGAACCAAATAATAATAACAATAATAAAAATAAACCAATGGGTCTTTGCAAGATGTCCATCACCTGCCCACCGGCTCCGAGCTTGCTCGGGTGGCGGTGGCTATGATATTGCGAACCTGGATTAGGTGTAGTGTGCATGGTGTGCATGTTATCGCAGGCAATCCATTCTCTTGCTAAATCAATCCTTTCTTTCTTACTAAAACGGAGATACAGTAGATAGCAATGTCTACTGGCAATATTTCTTTAATCGAAAAAGGCTGTATAATTTTGGTTTTGGTCCAAAAGACGAGCTAAAAATGGGTCAAAGGAAACAGAGCGCCGAAATATCTTCGGATAAGGTTTTAAAAATTGGTGATTTGGATTGGAAGGTTTTAAAAATTGGTGATTTGGATAGGAATTGGTTCATCTAGACTGAGAATTGAAATTGGGGGTCTTGTGAAATTTTGTGAACTAAGCTCTACTTTAATTTTTTTTTTTTATTTTTCCTTATTTTTTTTTAGTTTTTTTATTTTGATGGTTCTTGGACGGGATGATTTATGCCTGGACCGCCGATCAGGACCGGACTTTTTGGAGGCCGGTCACCAAAGTATGTTTTTTAAACCTTGGTGCAGGTATGTGATTGATTTCTATTTGACTTGAAAAAGTAGATTAAAAAATGATTTTTAATCCTTGGTGGACAGATATGTGATTGGTTCGATTTGACTTGAAAACGTGAGTTAAAAACATGTTTACGTATTTTAGGGAGAGAGACAGACGGCGGGAAAACAAGGATTTCATTGCATAATGCTACTAATCAACCTATAAAATCTGTATTAACAGTCTTTTTGATGTTCAATGAGAGATGTATCCAACTACATAAGGACAAAATAGCAAAGAAGAATAAACTTAACATAGGTTTTAAGGAAATTATCAAAAATATACTTTAAATTGTCTAATTGGAAAAAAAAAAAGACCTTCAACTTTCATAAACTGTCTACATTTTTTTTTTCTCATTGTTTGACATTTTTTTTTTTGACCAAAATAGTTTTCACAGTAGTCGTAAGTACTGTAATGATCAGATTAAAAATTACGGTACTTTAAGTCCGTAATGATCAAGGTAAGCATTACAGTACTTTAAAGATCGTAGTGTTTTATGAGTCTCTTTCTCTTTCATTTGTCACATCTGAGCATTATAGTATTTAAAGTATGTTAATGTTTAGTCTGGTCATTATGGTATTTAAAGTATTATAATTCTTTGTTAGTGTTGTAATACGGTAGTCATTACGGTAATACGATTACCGTAAAGGTTATTTTGATAAAAAAAATACCAAAATTGAAAAAAAAAAATGTGATGAATGAAATTTACTAAAGTTGAAGGTTTTTTCATTTTTCAATTAGAAGAAAATTAAAATATATTTATGGAGTAATGATTCTATGAGACCTTTTTGCACCCATGTATGTAGGATCTCAAAGAATCACTATTAAATTTGATATAGATCTTTAGAAAAGTTATCACATGGATGTGAGACTTGATTTTTTTAGAGATTTATGTTAAATTTAATGGTAATCTTTTAAGATTCTACACATATGGGTGTGAGAGGGTCTCATAGAATCATTACTCATATTTTTTATAATTTCTCGAGTTTTTATGAAGTTTCAAAACGATGAAGTTACCTTTGGGCTTTGGGTCTAGAGAGTAACCGCTACATTTTAATCAAAACAATGAAGTTACGTTTCGGCTTTGGGTCTAGACAGTAACTACTTGGGTTTTTAGCACGTTCTATTTCTACGCAACATTGTCACAAAAAAAAGAAGTAATCGTTTAAGAATTATTATGAAATTTTATTTTTAATAGGGATATTTTGACCTAATTTTTAAGAAAAAGTATATAATAAGACTATTTACTTTTGATGATGGTTACAATTATTTATAACCATCCTACGTAAAATCTGATAATTTGAATGTATTATAAGGTTTGAAAAAATTTCTATTGAACTTTGAGCTTGATTGACAGAAGACATACAGCTACTCAATGTCACATTTAATAGTCAAGATTACTTGTGACTATCTTGTACTTAAGGTAAACGATCTTATTGTATACAATCCCAATTTTAAAGACATGTAATATCTGGAGATTATGAATGTGAATAAATAAATAAATTTTAAATTAAAAATAAATATTTTATTAAAAAAACATTTGGACCGTTTCAAATTGTTATTAGATGGACCGCCGACCTATTTGCATCCATGACCACGATAGAGAGAGAAAGAGAGTTGAAAAACCTGAAAACCATGCTTTTTTGACATTTGAGACAGACACTGACGAAAAACTTGAAAACTATGCTTCTTTGACATTTATTGCATTTACTTGTGAGAGAGAAAACAAAGAAAGTACTGGTAAAACCCCGACTCCTTTATCTTACATCCACCTCTTGGGTATAGGAAACACAATACACCCACTTCCAATTGCCATTAGAAGTCACCATATTCTCGAACTATGCTTTATCTTACATCCACTTCTGAGGTATAACAAACACAATACACGCACTTCAAATTGCCATTAGAACCAACGATATTCTCGAACTATCAATACGCTTACTTCAACCAACCAGACTTTTGACTACAAGTGCATATCACCAAACATAGGGGTCCATACCGATTGCTAACCTGAGAGCTTTGCAGCATGACCTCTCGATAAAAAGGCCATACATATTGGTGGTTTCACCTTGGCCAATGTGAGCGCAGCGGCTGGAAGTGTCCATATCCCATCTCCACATATCAATCCTGAAGCCACGGCTGGCCCTAAGAGATCGGCTTCTCTCTTGTTTAGTCGACCCCATACTGCATTTATCAACGAACCCAATGCCATGTCGATGGCGAAATACGGGCCTATATAAAATGGTATGGACATGGCCATGGGTATGGGAATGTACATGGACACCTTTTTTGGAACCATGTCCTTAATGGAGTTTGTTAATAGAGAGAAAGCAAAGAAACCACCACACAGAGAGAGGCAGTGCTTAGGGAGAGATGAGACCCCACCAACCCCCAAAAGGGCCATCTCTCTATAAATCACACCATAAGGAGCTGGGTATTCCTGCGAAATCCCTACATCAAAAGCTACCCAAAAGAGCCAAAAGGTCAGTGGAGCCAAGATGCAGCCCATGAGGGTGCCCAAGATCTGGCTAGCAAACATGGACCTTGGTGAAGATAAAGTGATGTACCCAGTCTTGAAATCTTGCATCAGGTCTGCGGCTGTTTGCACTATGATCTGATAAAGGAAAAAATGACTACTTCTATTAGAAGTATTTCTTTTTTTGAATGCTATTTAAAGACAAATTCTTTCAATATAAGGACACCATGCACCATAATCCTCATTACTATGTTGAACCCCAATGCTCATGAAAGACATGACTGTCCATGTAATAGGTCTTGGAAATGATGGAAAGAGAGAGGGCCTGCCATCAAAGTTATTTCATGTTATAGCAGGTTTCATTCTCTCTCCATCACTACCCGAAGGTGAAGGGAGAGTGTGTGCCAACAAAACATGCCATTAATGAAGGTTTACATGTATCACATGACTATCATGACCATACAAATCATACCTATACTGTTCTATAACCCAAACAATGGATTGGATGGCGATGTTGGGGGACCCACCATCAAAGAGAATCCCATGTTCTAGAGGGTCCAAAAGTCTCTGTATCACCATCTTAATGGCCATAATTGAGACCTACTTTCATAAGGATTATAGCATGCATCATTTGGATTGTAGGATTTTTTTTTGGGAAAAGTTTATATAAGGTTGCAACTTTAAAATGTAGAATCACATATGCACCTCAAATATCTATCGGAAATGTTGTTTTAATGTTGAAAAATCCCTCTACTCAATCATCTCGACATCGAGATCTATGAATATGAAAAAAAAAAAGTTTTTGAATCTCGGAAATAGTGCATCTTGCAACACATTATCTAGACCGTCCATTTTCAAGATTTTCATATATTTATATGTCTACTTGATTTTAACCATTTTTAGAATTTAAAATTATCTAATTAGGTATGAAAATAGATTTTAAGATAATACTAAGAATTTTTTACAACAAAATTACATGCTATGATAAAATTTTAAGGTGCGCGGCAACCTTATAGAAACCACACCTTTTTTTTTTTCCCTCAAATTATTTTGTAAAGGAAAAAGTTTATATAAGGTTGCAACCTTACCTCTACAGCTACGGATGCAACTCAAAAATCCATCGAAAAAGATAGTTTTAATGTTGAAAAACCCTTTGATTGATCATCTCGATGTCGAGGTGTTGACCATGAAAAATAAAAAGATTTAAGTCTCAGAAATAGTGCATTTTACAACATATTATCTACACTATCCATTTTCAAGATTTTCATATGTTTATAGATCTAATTGATTTTGACCATTTTTTAAATTTAAAATTTTATAATTAGATATAGAAATAGATTTTGAGATAATCCTAAGAACCTTTTACGTCAAAATTATATACCATCATAAAATTTGAAGGTTTACCTTACCTCTACAGCTACGGATGCATCCATATGCCAACTGCACCCTCTTGTAAATATAGCCTATTTTTTGATAAGTTATACATCTTTACTTGATAATAGTAATACAGTTTAAAGAGATATTTTGAAATAAGAATTACCATCATGACCCCACAAAGGGCGAGGCCAGCTAAGACCCCACCATCTTGACCAGCCCAAGCTGAGAAAACAAAGATGCCGAGTTTTCCGTAGGTGGAGGCCAGGCTCCAGTCTGTAAGGCCACAACCATAGGCATTGCAAAACCCCAGAACAGGGGCAATGAGGTAGGAGATGAGGATGTAGTACCATTTGGCAGAGGGGAAGATCTTTGGGATTACACCTATTGAGATGGCAGCAAGCGCAGTGTAGCCCGAGGCAGCAAACCACAGAGGTACATGGTCCTTCATGAAGATCTCATTGCGTCGGGCCTTGAGGGGTGGTAGGGACTCATCTGAAGGGCAAAGATGAGAGATTGAGAGAGAGATCATCATAATGGTGCACAAGGTGATGGACATACAGACATACATGTGATCATGCATGCGCACACATGTGCAAGATTACTTCGTTATAGACATGAAAGTTTGCAGGCATGCATGCATATATAAATACATGAGAGAAGGAAAGAGACTATGATGTACATTCTTATGTCATCTCCATCTGCATGCGTACACATTAGCTATTAGAAAACATGTTTAAAATTGAATTTTGGATGACATATTACCTGGCTTGTCATGTGAGAGGGGAAGGGTTGGCATTTGATTCTTTTTTTGTTGTTTGTAGAAGGAAAAGATGCTGACTGCCAATATCTTGAGGAAGTTGTAAAGCCCATCTCCAAGAATTAGTGCTATGGCAATGAAAACCTACAAAATATAAAATATGGCCCTCTAATTAGTAATCTCTTACAAATTTGAAGAGATAAGGTCCATTGTCTAATTAATAATCTATTGAAGAGATAAGGTCCATCGTCTAATTAATAATCTATTGAAGAGATAAGGCCCATTTCAGAGAGGGAGAGATGGAATTTTAACTAATTAAAATAGAAAATACAGATAAGAAATAAACAGTTGATATATACACCTTGTAGCCAAAGAGGCCCTTTACATCTCTTGCCTTAAGGCCAGCTGGGTACCAATCCCCCTCTCTTGTTTTGATAAGGGGCCACAATAGACCCCAAGAAATAGTACCACCAAGCAAGAGTGAGATGTTAATTAGGTGGGGACAAATCATTCCAGCTCCAACATATGTGAGGCTCATATCAGAATAAAACCTGATAATCAAATGATTCAACATAGGTCAGGCTTTTGTCCGTCTCTTGTTATGCTCAGTTTTAGAAGTTGAACCAAGATTTTATAAGGTTGTAAAAGCAAATTGAGAGAGAGAGAGAGAGAGAGAGAGAGAGAGTAGTTAGTAGTAGTTAAGAAAGACTAAGTTGAGAGAGAGAAGAGAGAGAGAAGAGAGAGAGAGAGAGTAGAGTAGTAGAAGAGAGTAGAGAGAGAGAGAGAGAGAGAGAGAGAGAGAGAGAGACTCACCCATTCGTTTGTGCTTTCAAGCCTAAGATGGGGAAATTGCCAAACCCACAGTCCCCATCACCACTGTAGAACCATTTGAAGAAGCTCCAAAGGAAGCTGATTGTAAAGTACTTCCCAAGAAATCTAACTTGTTTCCTGAGCCATGTCGAATAACATGGAGCATAAGGTAAATGAAAAGTGATTGACTAGTGAATAAAAATTACAGAGTAAAAGGGCGATGTTTGAAACTTGAATTTTTCCCAAAAAAAAATAATAATAATCTAGTCGGCGATTTTCCAAATTTTTTCAATTGTTTCAAGTGATTATTCTTCAAAAATCTCCCAACCATTGACTCAATTAATCTAACTGAAGTTTGTCTCTGATTACCAAAAGAAAAAAAGGAGGAAGTTTGCCTCTAATTAGCCTTGTTTTGGACACATGTTATCTGAAATGCCTCATGTTGCTTTGGCTAATTCCTGACCAACTTTAGCTGAAATTCAGCAAAAATTAGCCAAATCTGCTTTTACATCTCTGTCCTCTATATTTCCCTGACCAAATTTAGCCGAATCTCAACTAAATTAGCCAATTAGTCATTTTGGGCACTTTATTCTCTTATTTTAGCTTAGTCTTGGATAAAATTATCCAAGTTCATTGGCTGATTTCAGCCAATTGGGAACCAGGAAATATGACTCATCCTTCTTAGACTTATGCCGATTTTAGTCTGAAATTGAAATTTATGCAGATTTCAGCCTGAAAATTGTATGTTGCTTTTGGTATTTGGCAGGAACCCAAAACAGAAAAGAAAAAGGAAGATAATTGGGTGGCAAGGGTATTGTTTTCAGGCTTCTAAGAGAAAAGCAATGGGTCATAAGAGTTAATGAAGCCATATGAGTTAATGAACTGTAAAGAATGGATGGAAACTCTGAACATCAGTTATTGGTAGAAGGTTAGAGAGAGAAAGAACAAGAGCACATGAATCAAGAAATGGTGAGGGGATTTGAATGCATATGGTTTGGCTTCTGTGCTATCAAAGATAATTGAAGTCCCCAGTGAAGTCAATCTCATGGGTTATGTCAGGATGACATGTTCAGTGCATTTTGGAAATGAAAAGTCTTTATTGGGCATCTAGAAATAGTTGGGTGTTATGATAATAAATATAAAATAAAAGCTAGAAGTCCTTTGCTTCTTT